CGTTTTGTTAAATAAAAATAATAATCAGCTAATCACCGTTAGTTATTAGCTAGTGGCGTCACAACCGCTACCCGCTGTTACCGACCACTAAATCGTCGGTGAACACAAAATTAGCATTTAATAAATAATGGCCTAAAGCCCAATCCTTTTTTCCAACCGAAAGTTTTCATTTCGATTGTTACGGTAGAAAGCAACATAAGCAAAAGGGATATATCATATTATTACAATTGACAATACAGAGAAAACGTGTTTGTTGAAAATTTGTTGGAAGAGCGACCAACTTTTTCATTAATATTAATCAAATCAACCTCCAACTATGTAAGACAAAATTATATTCCAAGTTTGGTTCCTCTCATTTTCAATTTTCAGAAAATTTCTATTTTTATTTTTAAATAGACTATAAATCTTCATTTAAATGAGAGTATTTTTTTAAAGGAAGGAAAATAACTATAAAAAATATATAGAAAAATGTATTTTCTATTATTTAGAAAAGGGAATAAAAATATTGAACAAAGTAATATATAGATCCACATGTTTTGAATCTTTTTAATTTGTAGAGAAAATATTGGAGGAAAATGAGAATATCACTCATTTTTATTGAATTACCCAAATGCTTCAATTAATTAAAAAATTTTAATCTTTTTTAAATACTAAAATATTTAAGTGAGAACATAATTATCAATTTCCAATGACAACATTTTCTTTTCTCTAAAATGTTACTCTTTTCAAATAAAAGAAAATATTATTTTCTTCCCTTTATTATATCCAAACATAAAAATGAAAAATAATTATGAAAAACAAATTCAATTTCTCATTATTTTCCTTTTTCTTGCAATATTTTTCTTCCTCTACTTTACAAACAAAAGGATAACGTAATTTATAATGTACTTAAAAAAATTATAATTGAAGTCTGCTGGAATCACAATAGCATCTAGTACATATTTGTAAAAGATTTATAATATAACCTTGTCTATTATAACATGTCTGATGAAAAAAAAAAAAAAAAAAACTGATGAAAAAAAAAAAAAAAAAGAATAAACCATGTTAGAAAAATCAACATTATTAAAAAAAAAAAAAAAAAAAAAAAAGATAAACCATGTTAGACAAATCAACATTATTAATTTGTAAGACAAACCAACATCATTAATTCTTCCAAATTTATATTTAGTGTTGTTCGTTTCAACAATCAAGTTACTATTCTTTCTGAACAAATTTTTTTTTTTTAAGGAAAAAAAAAATTTCTATTTTTCAATTAAAACTGTAGTTCATAGTGTGGCTGAATAGGCTCACACCACACTCATTATTTCCAAATCCACGTGCATGTACATACTGAAGTAGAGCTCGATCATGTTGCCCTTGACAAGCATACTGGGATTCATATCCAACATACATACCCATATCCCGTAGGAGGCCCATGTTACAGTGTAAGTTCACATGGGGCAGCCCATGTTATGGACCAGGTCCAGGGGCAGATCTACCTTGTAGCTCAAGGAGACCACCGTAAGTTTTTCAAAATTCAAAACTCAAAATTTTGTAATGCTTCAACCTGCACTCAAAATTTCAGCTACACACCAATGCTGCTGCTGTCTGCTCTGCGGCTCTGCCCTTGATGTATATAAGGCCTGGCTGTGTATCTACTACATGATTTTTTTTAATTTTTTAAACATCTCCTTATCCCATTAAGCTTCATAATTAGGCTTTTGAAATATGTTAAGTGAAACTGAAAAGAGTCGTATAAGAACAATGAGACCAGGTATAGTGGCCTAGTAACTAAATAAACATATGTATTTATTAACAAGCTCAATCATTATTTCATGTTGTATTTAAAAAATTAGTGATCACCACAAAAAAAAAAAAAAATGCGGCAATTGCTGACGGAATTCCTCCTTCCTGATGATCGATTAAAAATCAATCAACAAAATTATATATAGATAGTTTAAACCACAGATTATTTTCATACACAAAAAGATTGTCGATCAATTGATAAGGATAGACTATATATATTTTACATCACTAAATTAGCACCAGAAATCAGTCGCTAAAGTAAGTTGTCGATATACTAATATCATATATTTGTAACCAAACATCCTATATATTTTTCAATTCTGCTATTAATGGCGGAAGGAAAACATCAATCTTGAATTTCAAATTTCGTGGCGACACAATGACAAATTGGAATATGTACTCCGATTTCACACACATCCATGACAAAAGATTATATGGTGTAACTATAATTGGCCACCATGAATATTATAGTCAGAATTCCCCAAATGATTGAAACCCATGAGTACACGATCCAAACATTATATTCAAAGGGTTAGCAACAAAGGACAAATGTTGCAAATTTCAGTCTATAGTCCATCCTTCAGCCTTCTATACATCAACAGTCGGTTAGAAAACATTTTACTAATCCAGAAACAAGGAAAAATATTTATAGAGTCACTAAAATCAGTATCTTCTCAACTTTTTACACTGTATTTTCTAAGTATTTAAGAAATTTGTGTTCTATTCTTATCAATATGAAACCATTATTCAGTTTCAATTCAATGAGACGTTGTCCTTTTTTTAAAACTTCACAATGGTGCTTAAATACTAGGCAATTGCTCTTTTTAGTTTAGTCTCAATTTGAATTTTTGGAATTTCTTGCTTCTAAATTCTATTAATTTTGTATTTTTTTTAAATTCTAGAAAAAGAAGTTATGCGCTTTTAATATGCTTATGGAAAAATTATAAGGGGGCATTCAGTTCAGTTGATTCATGCTCATTATAGGTATTTGCTAAGTATTTTAATCAAGCTGATATCTAACAGAAGTCTTAATCGACCGATGATTCCATCAATTAAATTTTAGAATTTTTTTGTATAAATTGGTAGCTGATTTATTTTTGACTTTATTAGCCTTATAAAAACAATGACAGGTACTCAAACTCTTTTTCAAATTAATATTTTTTTATCATTTATTTATATTTATTTTGCTGATAAAAAAAAGATTTTATTGATTCCAGAGCATGAAATATTTATTATTTATCGAACTGACTTAATTAGTTGCCCTTAATATTTTAATTGATATTCTTAACTGTGACGCTAAATCTGTTGTCCAACTCTTCAACTTCTCTCTCGAACACACACGGTGTTGCTGATTTTGTGCAGATGTTGCAGCATCTTCACCTCATGGCAGTGCTGGCGATGGCGTCGGTTCATTTTCTGAGAAAATAGCTCCTCTTTCAAAGTTCTTTTATGGTTCTTATTCACATAGAGAAAACCTAGATTAATAAACCTTAATTATTTTTTTTTTTCTATTGTTTTCCTATTAGAACTGATTCCTTTTTTTATATATTTTTTTTTTCTATTGTTTTCCTATTAGAATGATTCCTTTTTTTTTTTATAACCATATGTTGGGCCCTGCTTTCAGGAATTTTCTTCTTTGTTTTGGTCATCTTTGGATAAAAGTTTTTTTTTTTAATAAATACAATAATTATCTTAGAATTATTTTCATTTGAATAAATCAGCCAAGTAATTTTTAAATATATATTTAAAAAATCTTATTTATAAATTTTGGATTTTTAATGAATTGATATTTTTTTGTGCATTTTTTGAAAAGGCTTATTCAAGTTTTTGGCATATATCTTTTCATTTAATGGCTTCCCGTAATTTGTTGAATCAGAGCTCTAGGAGTGCAGTAATTGGAAGCTAACAAAACACAAGCGACGACTTATTGAAATAGGTGAAAAAAAGTTTAATACTACTTTCTATTCCATAAATACGTTCACCAATTTAGAATTTCACGTCCTAAGAAAAATATTAAATTTATTTAAGTTATAAAAAATAAATTATTTGAGTAAAATTGATTATATTCGTTTTATTTAATATAATTCTCGTAAAAAATCATTAAATGAAATAAATAATTATGATATAAAAAGAGTAAACATGGAAAAAATATTTATTAATCCTGAAAACCTAATTGACCAAGTATTTTGGAAACAAACTATTTTTTTTTTTCCAAAATCTGAATCAAGTATTATGGAACATGAGGTAGTAAATGAGCTCTCTCTTTGATTTGTAACCATATTGATTTGTACCCATATTTCCTTCAACTTGATTAGAAGACATAAGCATGGATTTATTGACTTTTTGGCTAAGAATGATTTTAACACAGCAGTGGACGTTTTAGTTTGATTGTATTTTTTTTTTTTTCCCCTTGATTGTAGGTGAGCTTTTCAATGTTTTGCATCTGTTTTTCTTATCTCAGGAGAACAAGAGGTTTTCCTGATCAGATTGTACTGTTTGGCTAGAGTTTTATTTAACATTTTCAGGTTAATTGTGGTATATACGTGTAAATTATAAATCATAATATAGAAAAATAATTTTTACCCTTAGTAGTCATTTTACATTCTGAGAACAACTACTATCAAAATTTTATTAAACATCAATATTCATCGGCTAACCGCTTTCAACCATTAACTCTAAGGAATCAACAACAGCGGTTAGATATTAGGCACTAGCTATAAAGTACCAAACCATTGTTTGGTTTCAAACCGAAACCGATCGATTTGAATCGGATCTGTCAAAATCGACATTAATCCGTGGTCGGTACATGTTGTAGGTACATATGTGATTTAATTTTTTATATATAATTTTCTATTATTTTTTTTTAAAAGCATTTGAGATAGTTCAACTTAAGCAATTTAGCATTATTCATAAAAGAAAAAACACACCAAACATAGATCATTGATAAATGTCAATCGTACAACAATCAAGCGATAAATGCAGAACAAGACTGCAATTTACACACCGTCACATACGATAACAAACAACAAAGTCTAATTCAAAAGATGCTTGAGGACGAGTACTATGTAAATCCATGCACTGGACTTCTTATTTAGTGGCATCTACTGAGTGATTTTCTTCATGCTATTGTTTTATCCAGCTCAATCAAATTAGAGATCTCGAATTCAAAAAGGCAGGAACAACATCAATGTTGCCTCTTTCAAACTCATAGGTACGCTCCACATATAATTTTCTATTAATTTTTTAAAATAACATTTGAGATAGTTCAAATTAAGCTATTTAACATTATTCGTGAAAGAAATACACTAGACATAGATTATTGATAAGCGTCAACCGTACAGTGGCGAAGTGACAAATGCAGAAGACTGCAATTTACACACCATCACATACAATAATAGACAACATAGACTAATTTAAAAGATGCTTGATGACGAATACTACGTAAATGCATACGCAGGACTTCTTATTTAGTGGCATCTACTAAGATTTTCTTCAAGCTAGTTTTTTATCGAGCTTAATGAGATTGGAGATCTCAAATTCAAAAAAGGCAGGACCAACATCAGTGTTTGCTCTCTCAAACTCGTAGGTGCGCTCCACCTTACTGCCATTTCCGTCTGCTCTCAAGACTTCGGTCACTCTAATCGTGGTGCCGCGTGTATTGAAATCTCCAGCATTTCCATTTGTCAGTATATGTACATGGTAAATGCTTATCATATTCACTCTGTCGATTACATCGATGTTGACTTCTGCCCACACGATTGGAAATCCTATACAGACATATATATAAATAAATAAATATAAACAAAACAGATAGAGATCCAAAAGAGTAATGTTTAATGGCGTCGATTTAAATTTTCCTTACCACTAGCATATACGAGTTGGAACCTCTTAATATAGTCATTTGTACTCTCGCGGACATTGATTTGGGTGTAGACATCGGGCAGGAGGTTTTTGAGATCGGTTGAAGCCCCGCCGAGGAACTTCACTAGCTTGTCTGCACTTGATTGAAGGGTTACAGTGCTGACAACCGTAATAGGGTAAGAAGCCATTTTTTATAATATGCAAGAACAAGTTAACTCAACTAAGGGAGAATTGATTATTGGTTGATGGATGCATTGGAGCTTTACATAGACCTGTATTTATACTAGTACAATTGCGATTCCATCCCATCCAATCGCTGAAAAAAAAAAAAGTTAAACTTCAAAATTTCAGATGTAACATGTGTCCACATGTATATTAAGTATTTTCTTTACACATAAAAAGTGTGGCTACGAGTCGGCATGCACTTGCACTAACGGCCGATTTAACTTATTTAGCCACGTTTTTTTCTTAGCTTCTATAGAGAATAATATCTAGACATGGTTTTGGTAATATAGTTTTTCTTTTTTGTTTACAGCTAAATAATAAATAACAAAAATCAATCAGATGTAGTTTATTTAGTCTTCTCATTTATGTAAATAGTGAGAAGTCTCGAGTTTGAGTCCTCTCAACCACAAGTGTCTTTACCAACTTGTTGACTCAAGGGAAGAGTTATTTCTATTATGTAGTCTGCAATATTATTTTGACCCATCGAGTCTCCCAATAAATTTTAAGAAAGAAAATTTAATTGTAAACGTAGATCTCCTATAAAATTTAGAGTGTCACAAAATTTTGTTGATACAAGATAAGAAAGAATATAATGGTAGATATACGTGGTCAATTTATTTTACAAATCCTTAAAACAAGACAAAAAAAGAAGTTTTGGAATCCTACGTAACGTCTTGAAAACGTGAGTGTGAAAACATTAATTAAATTATTTTATTGCTTGATTATAAATTTAGTGTTTTAACTTTTGAGAATTTTTTTTTTAATAATACTACACTAAATCAGCTCAGAATTTAATTTACTTGATAAATCTAGCCCAGTAATTCTTTTATCAGCAAAACAAAAAGTCTTATTTTATTAATTAATCAGCCCAGAGTTTTGCATCTCTTTTTCTTATCTCTGGAGGACAAGAGATTTTCTTTATCATATTGTATTGTTTAGTCAGATTTTTATTTGATATTTTCAGGTCAGTTGTGGTGCATCACTGAAGCCTAGTGGTTTGGAGTAGATTCCTAATAAAAAAAAAATTTCGTTGGTAATAAGCAAAAATAGTACATATGTAATATAGCCTAGTAATTCAAAAGGAAATATGAAAATGAGTTAAATTGACAGTAGAAAAAAGTAATTGAAAATTAATTTTAGGACTAATTAATCGCCAAGTCTGCTAATGCAGATAATTCTGAAGGTTGTATAAGCGCTCCTTTTTTCGACCATCTTAATTGTTGTAAAGTGGTGCTTGGTATTCGATATTTACATTTTCTAATTTATAAAATCTATTAATTTTATATTTGAATCTCGAAAAAAAAAATATATCACATTTAATTTGTTGAAAGAAATGATATAGAAAAATGTTTGGTTCAACTGATGCATGTAGCTAATAGCTGATGAGTTAGGTTGCAGATGCATGTAGCTAATAGCTGATGAGTTCTTATAAAAATAATTATCAATAATTTTTTTAAATTAATATTATTTTTTATAATCTATGTATAATTATTTAAAAATAATTAAATATTATTAAACACCATTTAAAAAAAATTAAGACTTTTGATTTATGTAACACTTAAAAAGGCATGATATTTACCTTAAACTTGTTATATATGTGTAAGTTATAATTCATAATATTAAAAAATATTGAGCTGTTTTAACTTAGTTGGTTAGAGCATCAGTTTAGTAAGCTGGAGGTTTTGAGTTCAACTCCAAACCAAAATAACAATCTTTTTAATAAAAAAAAATTGTTAATATTGAAAAATACTTTTTAGTCATTTTACATTCTGAGAACAACATCAACTATATGGTATCAACAACCGATATTAGATATCATCTAGTGTGAATAATTAAACCAAACCACGGCTTGAGGTTTAATGTGTATAAATCTTGATTGAGATTTAGTAGAGAACCGAAAACGTAATAATCTCCCTTAAGCATGTAAGGGCAATCAAATGAATTTAATGGTAAAAGAATTTTCAAAAGTCTTAGATTTTCAAAAGTCTTAGATTTAATATAATTTGATTTGTTAATAACGCTAATAATATTAGTTGCTTAATATCAAACAATGCAAAGATAAATATAAAAAATACTTCTCTCTAATAAAATATTATAGGTTCAGTATATAAATTCACTTTTGTTCTTTTCACGAAAAAGATTGGAGCTCCCTCACTTTTACTTTGATCCATAAAAAGCTTCAACTTATAAAATTAGACCTGTTAATACTTTATTTCACGCATTAAACACCTCAACTTATAAAATTAGATAGATTAAACACCTATTATATAATTAAAAATGTGAAAATTATTATTGCAAAAGTTATATTAATCACATATTAAATTAATATTTTGCGTGCAAAAACCAAAAACATTTGTTTTTAGTATAAAGAGGTGTAACTGACACTAAAATCAAAATTAGGCATGACCCTTGTTTGGTTTCAAACCGAAACCTATCAATTTGAAATTGGAGTGGTCAAAATTGACACTAAACCGTGGCCGATACTCATTGTCTGCATGTACGTGATTTAATTTTTTTATATATAACTTTCTATTTATTTTTTTAAAAAACATTTGAGATAGCTCAAATTAAGCTATTTAACACTGTTCCCGAAAGAGACACACCAGACATAGATTATTGATAAGCGTCAGCCGTACAATGACAAAGTGATAAATGCAGAAGACTGCAATTTATACACCATCACATACAATAATAGACAATATAGACTAATTTAAAAGATGCTTGATGGCAAATACTGCGAAAATGCATACGCAGGATTCCTTATTTAGTTGCATCTACTGAATGATTTTTTTTTTTTTTTATGGATAAAAAATGTAGTTTTTTTTTTTTTTTATGGATAAAAAATGTAGCTATGAGTCGACATATTGCATGCATGCACATCCAGTAACAGCCGATTTAACTTAATCAGCCACGTTTTTCTTCTTAGCTTATAGATAATTATTGTCTAAGCATGTGAATTTGGCTTTAATTAGCTTTGTTATGTGGGCATCAATATGAAGATAATAAAAAGATTGTTTTTAACTTATTGTACCTTATCAATAAATTTGTTTTACAAGTCCTTCAAATGAGACAAAAAAAAAAGTTGTTTTGAAAGGTTTTTATCTACCAAATGCATGATCCTACGTGGCTTCTTGAAAACGCGGGTGTGGAAACATTAATTAAATTATTTTATTAATAACATTGATAGAGAGAGGATGATCAATTACTGGTTTATTTGAGAAACGTGGCGATTTGGACATCGTCCAATTGATGCACCATCGAATCTTCAATTTTCTAATATTTGGTGTTTTAATATTTTTTTGTCTAACATTACTCTTACCGTGGCTTTGGTGTTTTTTTTTTTATTAAATTTGCGATTAATTTGATTATTGACCGTGGTTAACTATATCACTCCTACACTAGTTAAATGTAATTTTATTGCACTTTTAATTTAACTGTTTCTAGTTTTTTTCTAATTTTCTATACACTATTTTCTTTCAACTGAAACAGATTTATGATATAGGAGAAAAAATATCAATGAAATGAAAAATGATTAACCATAAAAAGGTCATATATTTATTGCAAGTGAGATATAAATTTCTCTTCTAAATAAAAATGATAGTAGCTGCAAATTATTCAATAACATAAAAGAAGATTAAAAAAATTATTATTAAAAATAAAAGTCTTTTCAGAACTCACCTAAAAAAAAATATTTCAATGTATATAGATATACACGTATATCAATAAAATATTATATATATTTTTAAAATTAAAATTTTTAACCGTTCTTTAACCTCGGTAAAATTTTCAATGTTATGTAGAATTATAAGTATATCAATAAAATATTTATTATTTTTAAAATTAAATTTTCAACCGTTCGGCAATCCTACACATATGTTCAATTTGTATTTAAAAATAAATTTTAAAAAGTTTGAAAAATTTAAAAAATTTTGAAAGTTTAAATTATATATTTCTATTTTGAAAATTATTTTTGAAAAAATTCATCGAATCAAAATCCATATGACATTAAAAAAATATAATGAAAATATATATTTTTCTTATTTTTTTATCCTAACAATATCATTTGTATAAATTATATATATTCTATTTGAAATTTTATTTTTGAAAACATATATTCGAATCAATCACATAGACGTAAAAAATATTAATTAAAAATATATCTTTGTCTTTTTCTTTTTTTACTCTAACAAATATCATGCTATAATTAAATATATTCTATTTCGAAATTTATTTTTGAAAAAATTATATCGAATCAAATCATATAGACATAAAAATAAATTAATAAAATAATTTACCTTTCTTTTTTTTTTTTTTACTCCTAACAAATATTATGTACATTTTATTTGAAAATTTATTTTTTAAAAAATACATCCAATCAAATCATATAAACATAAAGAAA